TTTTTGTGTTTTTTTTTTTTTTTTTTTTTTTTTCTGGATAGATCTTCAGCTGCATCAATTTCTGCCCCGAGGAACCAGTGAGACCTCCCTTAGGGCAGCCGTGTAGATTTTATGCCAGATGGAATTAGTATTATAATCAGAGCTGCAGAGCTGAGAGTTAAACTCACCTTAGCAATTTTTGACTTGTCTAGATATTTTTGCAAGATATTGCAAAGACAGCAAGATATTTGACATACACAAGGATACTGTCACTTGCCAGAGACCCAGCACAAGACTCTGGGCTTTGGAGATGGACAAGTAATACCTTTACTTCAAAAAGTTATGTAATTTTCCCATGCTCTACCAGTTCTTAAAACAAAATGTCAAATTGTGGTGCAATATTAGACAACACATATTTACTTAAGGATATGTACAGGGAAATTCTATGTTCAGCTAGACAGAAAGTACATCTTACCTGCATATATAACAATTCCTATTGCAGCCTCAGTATTTCTGATTGTACACCCACGAAGCAAGAGGCTTTCAATGTTAAAACCAATTCGTTCCTGATTTGGCTGCTCCCTAGAAGAAATAAAGCAATGCATTTTTCTGTTCTAATATAGTATTCAACAAAATTTTTGTGTGCATGCCTATTTCAAGGTGAAATCAAGGAACTCTGAAGGTGCTATTTTGCTTGTTTTTCACTCAGCTTCAGTAAAGATTCCAGTAAGAAGTTACAGAGAAGTCCAAGAATCTCTCTCAAAGACCACTTGCATGGTGTGTGTATCCTGATGTCAATATGAAGCAAGCTTGGCTTTCATTCGGTACTTTTTCTGGCAGATTCAGTATCTCAATTGAAGCCAAGATACATTACGCAACTTCGTTCAGATGACATTCTTTTACAAAGCTGAGCAGGGTTTGCCTGCTGGTAGAGGTTCAGATGAATATATCTGCACCCTGCAAGAGCCTTGGTCTCTCTGTCAGCCACCAAAAGGCTTCTCATCTTTGTGAACCTCAGTTCACTTGAACAGTCTCTAGGCTGAGGCTTTCTTCCTCACTCTCACACTGGATGGAAGACTTTTAATCCTGGCTGAAGATGTCCCATCACACACCAGATCCTTCTGCTAGCAGAATAGACCAGTGAAAACTTAATGGAAATTATAAGGCCATTGCTCCATCAGGCAGGCAATCCATTACTGGCCTCTGAAAACGAAAGCATAAAGCTACTTTCACTCACAGTTTTTTATTATATACTGCGGTAGGCTCCTTCTGAGATCTTTACCAAAGCTGAGATTTTTCACTTCAGTCACTCCATCTGGTTTTGTTATGTAAATATCAGCATAAGAATTTTTTTTTCTAGAATATGTATCTTTTGCTGCTTTCTATTTGATATTTGGCATTGCATTTACCAGTAAATTGCAGCGTCACTTAAATGGAGGGCGAGGTTAGGTGCTATCTCAGAGCGAAGTACAGTTCGATATCTGTGTGCAGCTGCACATGATGACGTGACATGAAACTACGCAAGTGAAAAGGTTTATGTACCAACAACCTACAGCTGGTAGAATTCTAAAAAAATAATGCCAGAAACCTGTTTTTCTGGGAATCTAGATTCAGTCTTGGTGAAGTCATTTAACAGAAGCCTTCTTGTATCACCTTGAGCAGAATTTGCTGTGGTCAGGCATGTCAGATGGATGCCACTAAGTTCTTTCTTATCATTTTTAGCAGAGAGAGTACTGCTACTGTTTTATAGCAAGGCAATACAGCCTCAATAATTTATTAAGCGTTCTTGGAGAAAAATGTAACCTGTTCCGAGTAATTTGTGTTTACAAAATAGCTCAAACAACAGCAGACCAAAGACAGAAACTCCACTAAATGTTAGTAAATAATTTTCCCTGCAAATTATTTCATCTGCCCCTGAAGTGGTGAGAGAAAGGCAACTAATTCCATATTCCACCGAGCAGGTGAGATAGTAGGCATTTCAAAAAGAGATTTCTGTTACAGACTTTCAACAGAGATTTGAAGATTTTGAAGTCAGTCCTGGGTCCTAAGGGTGTGTATTTGTGTGTGTTTTCTTGTGACATATCACCTGCATTTCTATAATCTCAGTGCTCTTGTGCCATGTTACAGCAGGCTAATTGGAAGGATTGCTTCAATTTAGATTATACCCCAATGGTCCTCAAAGCCAGCAACCACAGCCAGCGATCAATACAAACTTGACCTCTTTTTCCCCTTTAAGATATCACAGTAGAGGGAAAATGGCATTGCTATTAGAGGCATCATTCTTACAGGGCATAAGTTCTCAAGACCAGATTAAGCACAGCCAATGCTAACAGGTGAGAGCCCTCTGGTTTACTCACGTTAGAGGATCTGGCCATGTGCAGCTACTCCAGGTGCAA